GTCGCCTATAGCCCCCAGGGGTTCCCTATACACCCCATAGGGTCCCCTATAGGGCTGGGGGGGGTCCCTATGGCCCCTATACCCCCCCCAGGGGTCGCCTATAGCCCCCAGGGGTTCCCTATACACCCCATAGGGTCCCCTATAGGGCTGGGGGGGGTCCCTATGGCCCCTATACCCCCCCCAGGGGTCGCCTATAGCCCCCAGGGGTTCCCTATACACCCCATAGGGTCCCCTATAGGGCTGGGGGGGGTCCCTATGGCCCCTATACCCCCCCCAGGGGTCGCCTATAGCCCCCAGGGGTTCCCTATACACCCCATAGGGTCCCCTATAGGGCTGGGGGGGGTCCCTATGGCCCCTATACCCCCCCCAGGGGTCGCCTATAGCCCCCAGGGGTTCCCTATACACCCCATAGGGTCCCCTATAGGGCTGGGGGGGGTCCCTATGGCCCCTATACCCCCCCCAGGGGTCGCCTATAGCCCCCAGGGGTTCCCTATACACCCCATAGGGTCCCCTATAGGGCTGGGGGGGGTCCCTATGGCCCCTATACCCCCCCCAGGGGTCGCCTATAGCCCCCAGGGGTTCCCTATACACCCCATAGGGTCCCCTATAGGGCTGGGGGGGGTCCCTATGGCCCCTATACCCCCCCCAGGGGTCGCCTATAGCCCCCAGGGGTTCCCTATACACCCCATAGGGTCCCCTATAGGGCTGGGGGGGGTCCCTATGGCCCCTATACCCCCCCCAGGGGTCGCCTATAGCCCCCAGGGGTTCCCTATACACCCCATAGGGTCCCCTATAGGGCTGGGGGGGGTCCCTATGGCCCCTATACCCCCCCCAGGGGTCGCCTATAGCCCCCAGGGGTTCCCTATACACCCCATAGGGTCCCCTATAGGGCTGGGGGGGGTCCCTATGGCCCCTATACCCCCCCCAGGGGTCGCCTATAGCCCCCAGGGGTTCCCTATACACCCCATAGGGTCCCCTATAGGGCTGGGGGGGGTCCCTATGGCCCCTATAGCCCCCCGTGGTCCCCTATAGACCCCATAGGGTCCCCTATAGGGCTGGGGGGGTCCCTATGGCCCCTATAGCCCCCAGGGGTCCCCTATAGGGGGTCCCTATAGCCCCTATACCCCCCCCGTGGTCCCCTATAGCCCCCAGGGGTTCCCTATAGACCCCACAGGGTCCCCTATAGGGCTGGGGGGGTCCATATGGCCCATATACCCCCCCCGTGGTCCCCTA